ACTACATTATAGATGACATTTGTTATTTCTGAACACTGAAGAATGATTAGACAAATAGAAGGGGGAAATACTGTTGAAGTACAGAGGAAGCATCCTACAAGAGTCCAAAAGTAATAAAACAGCGAATAGAAAAAACTGCAGTATCTATCTCCACAAAAGAATACAAGCGAAGATGCGTGGTAAAATCCTAAAAGATAAGATAAAACCACACTACCAGCCTCCAGAAACCAAACAATTGGTAATCAAATATTTAAAAAAATAAGATAAAATGGAATTTAAAAAACGACAGTACATCCAGATTTCTCTAGAAGATCAGAGCGATCACACCCCATCCCAATGCCAAGCCTCCTACCATCTTTTGCACACTTCTGATCGTTTCTGCTCCGCTCTGCAAATATGCATCACAAATTTCAGGATAAATAAATATCATTGGTACCACAACAGTATTTTTTGTTTTTTCCGATAAAATTTCATGTTTAGTTTAAGAGAATGAGAAATAATATTTTTTTATTTTCCTTGCACTTGTCTGAATATTTTAAAATGTAAAAAAAATGAAAGCAAAATCCCTTCCTCCCATTTTATCCCCTTTAATTTTTTAAATAAAAATATTTCTCTACTGAACACAAACCAAACCAAACAGGATATGAAGTATTTCTAAATATTTTTTTGTGAGTACTATTGCAGCTGTCATGGACTATGTGTGTTGCCTTCAATCTGACATTTACTTTAATTGACTCGATTTTCCAGTAGTGACTGGGGTCTCGGGAAAATGTAGTAAATCAGTAGTATTCATAATTTTGATATTGAGATCCGTTTGTCCCTTCCAAAAATCAATCAAGTAGCTAGCCAGCCTTGCCTTCACCAGCGGCGCTAGGAGAGACATCCAAATCTAAGTTGTCGGTGGAAGTTAACTTGCAAGACGGCCTACAATTGGCCGTTATAGTGGCGCGTCAACCTCATACGCGCCTCAAGACACAAATTACTATACCACCGGCGACAACTAAACATATATACTCATGGTTCTGATTAGCATTCCTAATGATGCACAATGTTTCCTAAAAATTCTAGATCTGAGGCCGCAATGCATCATGGAGCATTTTAAGACGAAAAAACACTGAGGATAGATAAGAAAAATTACCTCATCAGCAGCTCCTGAAGGACCGGGAGAGGAAGCTCCGGGACTGGAAGCGTCGGAACTGGAACCAGGAGCTCCTGTCGGTGGAGCGGGAGGTCCAAGCAAAGAAGGGGAAGGAGCAGGTGCATTTTCTTTCGACTTCGTGCTCGGTGCCGGTGCTGCAACCTCAGCAGTCGGTGCTTCCACCGGAGCAGCGGCTGAGCTTTCCGGAGGCGTCGTCGGTGCAGTAACAGGAGATGATTTTGCAGGTGGAGAGCTCACAGGAACCGAAGCAGGAGGAGAACTCACCGGAGTAGAAGCCGTTGGAGTAGACACCGGGGCCGGAACCGCAGTCTTTACGGGAGCAGGAGCAGAAACTGGAGGTGATGATGCGGGACTAGTAGCGGGAGCTGGTGATGATTTCTGTTTAGCAGGAGCTGTAGCTGGAGGTGATGATGCGGGACTAGTGGCGGGAGCTGGTGATGATTTCTGTTTAGCAGGAGCTGTAGCTGGAGGTGATGATGCGGGACTAGTGGCGGGAGCTGGTGATGATTTCGGTTTAGCAGGAGCTGTAGCTGGAGCCACGGCCGGTGTTTTAGCTACCGCAGGAGTCGTAGTCGGAGCCCCAGCC